AAGTCATAGATTAGTGCCTTCATACACATGGCCTCAAGGTATACCACGTAGTATGGAGTGTCCACCTTTATTCTTGCTATGGGAAGCTTCATCACTCACCCATCAATCAGCACATACAGACGTACCGTGCCCGTCATCTGATCATCAGATACTAGACTGGTTGTCACTGCTGCATCCAGTATCTTATAAGACCTTCACTTTCTTGTCCCCAACAAAGCCTTCACCTACTGGCATGTTGTGATTTGTTGGCATCCCTCGATATTTGTCACATACTCCAATCACTACTGGCATTGTTGATCCATTTGCTAACTTGAGCTGACTATCAGTTGTGCACTGTTAAATAATGGTGATAGCACTTTCTTAGTGGTGATTTGGATGAGCTATCTCCATTTTGTTTCTTCTGGGAGCGGCATCCATGGTGACAGCCACTCTTTTCTTGTTTCTTGCCAGGACTATTTCTGTTGGTAGCTCCAGTTTCTTTATGTTGAAATTTCTGTGGCTACTTGTTGGTGACAGACTTGCACTCCGTTGTAATGTGCCCCATTTTATAAGAAGCATATTATCTCTTCTCCATTTTGTCTGTTAACCTCTTGTCAGCCATCTCTGCTTTCGACTTTAACTGGATATTCTTGGACATGCCAGTTACATTCCCTCCATGGAATTCACTTTTCTGTTCTGCCAGCTTGATCATTTCTTCCACGTCTTTTGGTGACATGTCAGTTGAGCACTTGAACTGTTAATGTATTTGTATATATACAACTCCTTCACTCTATTTTCACACTTAGCCATGTCAGTCCATCTTGTGAAGCATTGCCGTAGACGTGCCACGAACTGAAATACAGTTTCTCTAGTGTCAGGTTTGACCTATCTGAATTTCGTGCAAAATCCTCTCTCAGTAAATTATAGTGTTTCAGCAACGCAACTTTTAACTTGTCATGGTCTGCAGAATCTTCTGTCATCATGCCTGCATAAACTTGTAGGCCTTTACCTGTGAGAAGTGGGCTGAGACAGATTGCCCAGTCGCCTATGTCCCAGTTCTGACTTTGAGCAAATATTTCATATCTCTCCAGGAAAGCATCCACGTCGTCTTTCTATTCATCAGATTTGGGCAGCTTGGGTCAGCTGGCCCTGACCCCAATGTCGTTCTTGGGTCCTTCATCTTTCTGTTGAGAGAGCTTTGCAATCTCAATTTGTGCTCTTATTCTCTCTATTTCTAGTCTCTCTTGTCTCTACTTTTGTTCTTTCTCAATTTGTATTGGTATCTTCTCTTCCTCTATTCTCTGCCTCTGTTGATGCTCTTCTCTGTTTAGTTCGTTTTGTTGTTATTTAACAAACTCTAGTAGATCGCTATTTTTTAGCCAAAGCTGCTCACCTCTCTCAATCCGTATATCAAAGTCAGTTGACATGGTTGTGTAGTGTGGTTGTAATCTCTACAATATTTTCGCCATCGCTACAGCTGTGCGTATATAGGCTTACTTCTGCCGTGTTCACGTCTTCTTTTACCGCCGTTTACCACTGTATAATCCTGGCTGGCTCGCCAATGTCAGGTTTTATTGAGCCTCGATTCTTTACAGTAGGTGTCTGTGCCTTGTTGGGGATACATTTCAACAATAAACAAACAGCACACAGTCCACTTGTTTTAAAATAATCTATATTCAAACAAGTCAAATATATATACAAATTTTCGTTACACAGTTGATTATCAGAGTTTAAGCCAGAGCTTTAAATAATTCTCCTTTTCGTCAAAGTTCACACAGGCTGATTCAGTTACTTTAGAACCCAATTGGCAAGAAACTGTTCTTCTCTATGCTGTTATTATAATATAAACTGCGATTAAAAGTTGCCACTATACACATTTCATGGCTAAATTCACGATCATCCAATCCATATATATCTCTGTCTCATTTTCTTACTAATGTTTGACACATATATACATATATATACTCTCGACAGCAATCTAGAACTTTCTACACCCTATTATATGATGCAATAATAATCTATTAAAGCAACGCGAAAAATTCAGAAGGTCTGAGTAACATGGCGTCAATTCACAACAATTGAACTACACAAAAAGCGATTCGTAAATAACTACGTAAGCAAACTTACCATAACTATCGCTTCTAAAAATAGCTTACTTTAACGTTCGGATATATAAACTACGTAATAACTCTCGTATTAGACTTGAAATGAACAGCCATGTATAGCTAACACTTCATATTCATTTTAGTAACTTAAACAACTTATCTACTGAACACTTCAGATGAATAAATTACTAGCATAAAAACTAAATATTTTCAAATCCCAAATGAATATAGGTTAACTGTGGTGAGTAAATAACAACTAAAATACCATATATATATTTATACATACATAACATAGACAAGGAAGCTGACCAATGATTCTGCACTGAGGTATTGAATACTCAGTGTGTTAGCTTAGTTTGTAATCCACTGCCCTGTTGTACGAGTTATCCGGGGTTCGATACCAAACCGACAAAAACAAATTGAAATGACTACAAACAGTTTGTTTGTTGTAGAGCAAAGCCACTTTGTTCCATCTGATGTGTCCACTGCAGGAAATCGAACTTCTGATTTTGGTGTTGTAAGTCCGTCAACTTATCGCTATCCACCCGAGCGACAGCACAAATATAAAACTGACATGAGGTCTTGTTTGTATAATAGAATAATGAGGTAGTTTATTAGCTGATAAGATGTGTCTTAATAGCAATTGCTATAATTCACCTTTTAGCTCATTTGGTAGAATATTTTCCTTCTTTGAGCATTAAAAACTGAGAAAAAAAATACTATATGATCACAAGTATCTCAAGATCCTGAAATAAGGCCCGATGAGAGCCCTTGTTTGAGGGGAAAATTTGGTAGTTTGAGTTGTTAAGAAGTGCCTTACTAACATGTGTAAAGTTTGTAGAGCACTTGGCTAGTGTGCAAGAGGTATTACCAAATAAAAATTAAATTATCACAATAAGAAGCTTTATTATGATTACCAGACGAGACTTTATTTCAGTACTACATCCTAAAGTGTGTAAACTTATTGAATTAAGGTATATTCTAACTACCGGACGAGACTTATTTCAGTACTACATCCTGAAGTGTGTAAACTTATTGAATTCATTTTAAAAATAAAAGTGCAATAATAGTTTATTCCTTTTCAGAGAGAACAGTAGAACAATATTACATATAGTGCCTTCTTCAGAGAGAACAGTAGAACAATATTACATATAGTGCCTTCTTCAGAGAGAACAGTAGAACAATATTACATATAGTGCCTTCTTCAGAGAGAACAGTAGAACAATATTACATATAGTGCCTTCTTCAGAGAGAACAGTAGAACAATATTACATATAGTGCCTTCTTCAGAGAGAATAGTAGAACAATATTACATATAGTGCCTTCTTCAGGGAAAACAGTAGAATAATGCAAGCATATGTCGAAAAACCAGAAAGCTATGGAGGTGTAAATATATGACGGCAATAAATTAAAATCTGCTACATCTGTTGGTGAGCTACAGAAATGATGTACGTAAAGCAGAGAGATCTTTCTAATATGGTATTTTCGTATTGTACCTATTCCCCTCCGAGTGACAACGTAGCTATGCTGAATAATGGGTGATTTTCAAGATATTTACTGTGAAATAATTTTGTATTCTCGGACTGAGTTCGCAAGAACCTGAACACAATTCTACAATCATAATATACAAACTTTATCTTAACAAATACAGTAAAAGATGTACTTTATTTGCCACAATGGACAGTCGTATTTACTGGAGAATTTGATTTGAAGTTTTTGTAACTTATAAGAGGAGATCGTGAGCACGATTGGCTCTGTTCAGATACTTTCCCGACTGCACGTGTTAAGATCGTGTCCAGACAGAATAAATGTCACGTTACTTAGTTACCTCGTTGACCTAAAACTTACCTAGAGCGACTAACACTACCTATGTGTTTATTTGTTTATGGACTATCGCGCAAAGCTGCTCGAGGGCTATCTCTAATAGCCGTTCCTACTTTTCAAGTAATAGACTAGAAATAAAGCAACTAGTCAGTATCACCCACCGCCAACTCTTGGGCTAATCTTTATCAACGAATAGCAAGATTAACCGTCACATTATAATATCCCAACGGCTGAAAGGAGGAGCATATTCGGTGACGGGATTCGAACCCGAAAGCTGTGAGTCTAGTGCCCTAACCACCAGGTCATATCGGGTTCTACTACCCACCTGACTGGTCATTGTACTGGCTGACATTAGAAAAGATGACCAATAACCACATAGCTACATCACGGGCTATTCACGTTCTTTCCACAGTGGGGAATCAAACCAACCAGGATTTAATGTTCTAATTACACAATCTTAGCATTTCTCACTGGGGGTATTTTAAGTTGTTAATTAATTATTGCAATTTACCTCTGTTTTTAATACATTCTGTGACATACTTAATGTTTTATATTAAAAGAATTTAGTGTTGCACTATATTATACCTTTATATACTCTCTGATTGCTAAATATGGTGTTTCGTTTCCTTTTCACTTTAGACAGATGAACATTTCCTGTTTACCAAAATTTGCAATAATGTCATCACATACACGTGTTTCTGCTCAGTATAGATTCAACAATAGATAGTTGGCTATGAAACATGCCAAAATTGCAATCAGTTAGGCACACATTGTTCCGGGTCATTTCCCTCCGGTATTATATGTGCTTTCTAGTAGGAAGGAAAGCTGAATTATACATAATTGAAATACATGTATATGTAGGCAACGGTCTTAACAATGGGTGAATCTTGTATATTCCATTCGTATCAGAATGAGACGTTAGCGTAACTAAGTATTCCAACATAGCTCAGATTTTCTAAACCATGTCTATATGGTATTATAGAGCCCAGTTTGACCACTTTCGAAACTCACGAGGTTAAAATCTTGTAATGGCCATTACCCATCATCTTAATGAACAATATGAGTCTAACAATAATTCTCTCTCATGTTTTTATTTCATTCGAATCTTTGTCCGTAAATAAAATGAACAATAATAAAACGAATACAGAATTGACTACATCTGTTGGTTCCCATGAGCGCCTCCTTCCATCCGCAACAACAATGCAAGGGCTTCAATATAACACTTCTCCTGTTGAAATGAATAACAATTGTTATGTTTATGATTATACAGTGATAATAATGTACACTTTCATTACAAAAAAAAAATGAGTGAAGTAAATCTGAATGACAATCATGAGAAATGTGATACAAACATTCCTTCCATTTCAACTACATATAAATATGAACTATTACGGACTTTGGAATAGATTCCTCATGGGAAAGAGGAGCAAGAGATCCATTAAACTACGAAAAATCACAATACAAATCATTTTGAACCACTGTAGCAGCTCGTGATAAACATATTTCAGACGTCTGACAGCAAGCATCAGAAACTACCTCTTCAGGAGTGGCTTTAAACACTGAAAGTATATATATATATACACATTTATTTATTTATTTACCTTTCCAATGGGCTTTCAAGTATTAAATGTTGGCAAGTATTTTCTTCTTAAATCTTGTTAAGTGAACCTTTGTTGAGGCATCATGCACAGTTCAGCCATTTGTTTAATGAAAAGACTCACAAAGACAGCAAATGTAAATACTGTCATATCATTCTTTAATGTAGTAGATGGCCCCGTACAGATCTACATAAGATGTTCGTTGTTTTGGTAACTTGTTTTAAATTGTTACAAATTCAGGATAAGAATACTTTAATGTAAATCACTTCCATATCGTCTTTAATAAGTTTAGTTAGATGATTCATCTCACCAAGTTCTATAGCAGCAGCAAGTAAGCGTTCGTCGTGTACCCTAATGTTCGTGAACAGACGATCACATAAACGTTCGTCGTGAACCCTAATGTTCGTGAACAGACGATCACGTAAGCGTTCGTGGTGAACCCTAATGTTCGTGAATAGACGATCACGTAAGCGTTCGTCGTGAACCCTAATGTTCGTGAACAGACGATCACGTAAGCGTTCGTCGTGAACCCTAATGTTCGTGAACAGACAATATTACTTTTATTGTCATTTGAGTGACAGAAAAAGCAGCTGTCTTTACTTTCAGCTACAACTGAATGATGACCTAGTCCAAAAAGGTCCTGCTATAGTTGGCCCAAATCTCGTTACTTGTCTATCCAGTTTTTCAGTTTAGATCATATGTGTTTATGCATACCTAATAATGCTTTTCTGTAAAAATGTCATCTCATGTTCACAGCCGCCATCCAATTGGTTGAACCTGATATTGTTAGGATATGCATTATTCTCTAACTAATGTGAATTTATCATACTTGTTTTACATGCCTAATGATACTTTGCCGTAAAAATGTCATCTCAAGTTCACAGCAGTCATCCAACTGGTCTAGCCTGATATTTATTAGGAAATGCACCAATCTCTGACAACTCAATGTAGTCTCTCCCTTTGTCAGGTCTAGAATAAGTCGCTAAGTACATAATTGGGCGTATTTATAACCATTTAATACTACACTTTAGTGCAAGGACGGCAACCTGGGGTTGTGACGTCATCCAACCACACTGAGACCTGGGTTTGTATAAGGTTATAATATAATAATTCTGCCATTTCTCTGTGACAAATAACATTTCGTACAACTTGTCCGTATTTTGTTTTTAATTTACTCCACTACGGATGAACTACTATGTAATAACAACAAATACTCTTTCGTTATTAAAAAGTTTGACACAGGAATAAAAGTAATTACCCTTGAATTACCAAAAGTGTGGAATAAGTATGGTAATACAGAATCGTAATGGCTGAGATCGGATTGAAAGGACAAACACATTGCTTTAACTGTTTCGAATTATACGCTGACATAGAATAATAAATACTACAGACAGACTTCGATATGCATCTTTTACGTGGTGAAGTAAAGAAAAGTATCATACAAGTTCGCTGTTCGACTTAGATATTGTAAGAAAATAATGTTGATATAAAAACGAATATTTTCATTAATCACGAATGGTTTTTACACACGAAATACAAAATTAAAATGAATCAATTTTAAAAGCATCATTAATTTGCTTTCTTGCAAAAAAACAGTAAAAGGTTGTATGGGAATATTCTAATAAATGACTTTAGTTTTAGCTTCGTATAAATACAGAGTGTTGAATATTATATATTAACATGATCTTCAATATGCAGATCAGCAAGTCGCGTTCAATCACTTTGCAGTGGAACAACATATATCAGAAATACATTTTTGACATTGTTGGCGTTACATAAGTAACGAGATCCCGTCAAAAATGGATTGCTTCTGGGCAGAGCATTAAAGAGCAGGATATTCATACACTTAGAGCGGAGATAGGTATTGTAAGTTATTGGCATTGAAAAACAAAGCAATATGAGTCAATCTGGTGCACCACGTCCATCTATAAAGAGACCTGCAACCAGTCATTCCCAAGCCATAGTAAGCAATGTAGAATGTCTTGTAACAGTTGAGAATCCACGAAGACAAAGATCACTGGCAAAATCCGTCTACTTTTTCCAGGCAACAGTAAGCAACACGATCAAGAAGGTTGTCCATCTGGAGAAGCGATGCAAGTCACGTGTATAGTTGCTTCAACAACATATCTCTTCAACTATTGCATAACTGAAGCTGTGAGAAAGTGAAACAAGTACTATTCCTGTCGCCGGACAGTTGAAACAAGTACTATTCCTGTCGCCGGACAGTTGAAACTAGTACTATTCCTGTCGCCGGACAGTTGAAACTAGTACTATTCCTGTCGCCGGACAGTTGAAACAAGTACTATTCCTGTCGCTGGACAGTTGAAACTAGTACTATTCCTGTCGCTGGACAGTTGAAACTAGTACTATTCCTGTCGCCGGACAGTTGAAACAAGTACTATTCCTGTCGCCGGACATTGAAACAAGTACTATTCCTGTCGACAGTTGAAACGAGTGCCGTCCTCCCAACAATATATTATGAAAATTAAGGATGGAGTAGATGTGTGCTTTTTATGTGACATCTTTATGACGACTACGCTGTACAGACATGGCGACATGCACTGTAACGACGTGGTAAGGCTCCAAAAGTGTTTTGATATAATGTACTGAACCTCTGTATTTAGCTTTATTTGAAATATTTATCTTAGAAAAAGATACGAACCATCCCTTATTATTCTAAGTAAAATAAGTTTCAAAGAAAGCCACTGCATAAAAACCTGAAAATAAATCACCTAATAGAAAGACAGACAAATTTTCAATACTTACAATCAACTTCTGCGCCTTCTTGTCTTCCTCGTTTTTCTAAGTTTAGCCAAAAAAAAATACTAGTTTACGTATATGTAATATTATAACAATACAAAGTAATAAAACTAAGTACAGTTTTTAGTTCACTGATAATATTCTATTTTGATAAGATAATTTGAACAGCTGTACTTATGATAATGCTGTAATCATGCTTTCTATAACATTATCAGAATTTATAGATCCATCCACCTTAGTAAAACCATAATCTATAGAATGAACTATTGGAAAATGTGTTAATAAGCTCCTTACCTCAGACTGCTTTCCTTTTTCATCCAAACAATCCAACATCTGGTGCAATGAAAGAGAAAACAAAATTTGTAAAAAGCAAACTAACCACTCTAAAATTCTGCACTTAAAGAACCCTATTTAACAATTAGTTTGTTTTTGCTCTGTTTAAAAACTTTCGCGTAAAACTACAAAATGGGCCATCTGTGCATGTCTATCCTTACTTTTGAGCTGATACACTAGGGTTAATGTAACTAATGAAAAATATCCAGCACAATCTGTAAGGTTAATCTTCTTTGATCGAACAATGGAGCTTGAATGTTACAGTAATAGTAAACCCATAGCAAAATCAGTATTCAAAACATGAATCCATGGTTTCATAATTCGGATATAGTATTTACTAGGCCAGGCCCGGTCCTAGTTCAGTCGTAACTCTTTAATTTAATTATATACGAATATAGGTTTTATCTACTCAATTCTTATGAAGTGTTTGAACCGTTTAAGCTTTCGTGTAACAAACACTTAAGTTAACCTGTAAAGAACCTAAAGGCAACTATATCAACTTACAGGATGTTTTATTCCAGGCGCTAATTTTTCACACATCTTTTGAATAACAACGTCATCATCATACCCACCAAGGGAAGTTTCCTCTTTACATTCTAACCATGCATCTATGTAAGACTGTAAAATAAGAATTAAAGGGTTAACATAATGCTGCAATCGCTTTTTTGTTCTCAGCTAATGCATCTGTTAGATACGGGTGTTATAGCTAGCTGTAATTACTTGTTTTATTTATATATATATAAGTGATTCATATTTATTCCGTTATCCATAATTTTCTCACAGTCAACTTATGTTGGAACATTGCAGCGCCCTCTATTACACAATCATAACTTACCTGCGTTAGATTTTTCTCGCATTTTTCACGAGCATTCTTAACCGCTTCAATTTCTGAAAGAACACAAAAACTCAATAACGCTATTATGACTGTAATTATTATAAAACGGTATCGACTTTAAATGTCATCGTAAGGTATGTTCTATTAATGGCGAACATATATATATATACGAGAAAACAAAATATATACGTATGAAAAGAACAGTAAAATAATAATTTATCAGGTTTTCTGAACTGAGATTAAAGAACTACATTTTATCATTTTCATCCCTTTAAACACTTTCATCAAACATTGTTAGAATTTTAATTCTCGGCATTCACTAAAGTTAAAACAGAAGACAACAATTAAAATGTTAGTAATGTTCCTAGAGAATATTGGAATCATTTAACTTGACAAGGTGTTAGGCCTAATTGATTCAACAGTGCTGGTAACTAGGGCGATTAGAGGTAAAAAATATATATATATATACATAAATTGTCAAATTAATGTTTATGTTACATAAAGTAGAAGCTGTAGACTAGGTTAAAAAGTTGTCACTTCAAACTTCTAACTCTAGGTTTGTTGTGTAATTAAGCACAAAGCTACACAATGGGCTATCTCTGCTCTGCCTACCACGGGTATCAAAACACAGACACAGAATCTCTACGTACCTGTGATAAATTATGTTTGTTAGTACGGGCGCTTGACTTGAACCCATGTTGACTCCGTCTTTCTTCTCGTATATTCATTTCTCAATTGAATAGAAAAGGTGTTTTCTTACTACCTGTCTCTCGTAGTTTGTTCAAGACATATCGATGTGGTCTATAATTGTTTGTTTGTCTTGCAATTAATTTACGGAGTATCAGTGAATAATAATTCAATATCCAAAGTTGGAACTGTGATCTTCATCAAGGAATTTGAGTATCCCACATAGAAGAAATATTTTGTTAGTTTGGTCTTTTCACGTTTTTGTCAAGTTTTGAGAATTGAGGATTACCTCATACGTTGTCAAAAGTTTTGTTAGTTTGTCTAATCTACTGAAGATCGCGATTTTATTTCCTTCATCAGGTTTGGCAATGATGTTTTTCACTGCGGCATAGCTGCTCGTAGAACGGATTTGAGTTTTTTGTTTTTTTTTCAAGTACAAACTTTTAGCTCATAGCTCCGTCATCTCTTGACCGATTTTAGATCTAATTACAGTTTTAGACTCAGGGGGTCAAACCTTTTCGATTGGTGTACTTGATGACATCCAAGGTCTCATAGATTAATTTACTTTAATCCTGCCTAAAAGAATTTCAAGTGCCGTATTGAAGATTCCCTCGTTTGTTTGTTTTTTAATTTTTACTTAGCTTATTAACGGAATAGCTTATAGGGTTTTTAGATTTAGGGTTGGAGTTAGAAACATAAGTACTTCTATAGGAGTTTTAATATGATTGAAAGAGATATCATTTTTTCGGTTGTTCAGTTAATGAAGTTTTTTGTTCTTTTGTAATTAAGCACAAAGCTACACAATGGGCTATCTGTGCTCTGCCCACCACGGGTATCGGTTTTTAGCGTTGTAAGTCGGCAGACATACCGCTATGCTACTGGGGGGGGGGGGGCAAAGAAGTAGCAGTTCTAAATGTATAAGGAATTCGTGAAACGTTTCGTGGTAATACAAATTAAAAGATAATACTTCCTCTCCTTTGTGAATTATATAATTTAAAATAATTTCAATAAACTGTGCCGTTACTAGTTCTAAAGAAGTTCGATAAATATATAAAGTCAATTGTATTGTACGAGTAGGAACTCTTTCTTACAATGGGAATGAGTTTTTGTGTATACATTCTTTTTCGTTTCATTTCATTTGCTTGATTAGCAGATTTCTACGGAATCGAAGGTTTACAAAAAAAACAGGTTATTAGGGAAAGAACTCTGGTTCTGCAACTTCGCCAATTTGAGAAAAGTTACATAAAACCCCAAAACACAAGCTCTGTCTAAATTTTACATAACAAATGTATAACCATTAACTTCAAACCTAAACCTCTAAATCTTAAAACTGTAATTGTGAAACTTAAATGCCTTAGAGAGTGCAGTAACACTCATATAAATTTTATAATTTCCAAGACTAAGCGTAAAATCTTAGACATATATTTATATCAATGATTCACATATCTGTATATCTATAACCAAACACTGTAAACATTGATATAAATATATGTCTAAGATATTTGATATACATTCACGCTTGTAAGAAGTGTGGTCTAACTGATTCATATATCACATATCTGAATATCTATAACCAAGCACTGTAAACAGTTAGACCACACTTCTTACAAGCGTGAATGTATATCAAATATCTTAGTCAAATTTGATGACGAGGAACCCACTTTTTAGAAAATAAAACCTGAAGACGGTTTGAATGGGTAGTGAAAGAAGGCACGTGACGATAACAAAAGCTTGTTGCTACGTTCTATATTTGTGATAAAGTTTCTGTCACTACCTATTCAAGCTGTCTACAAAGTTTAATATTTTAGGCAAAAATGTTCAAGCTCTTAAGTATGTAACAGACAATACATAGTTAAATAAAACCTGTAATTGTATGTGGTAACACACTGAAATAAAGCTTGCAGTTTTCAGTGTAGTTCAATTACTGGGCAACAAATCTTTCATATGTGTTCTAATATACTATCAGTTAGTTACCGTATACAGTTGTAGTGTTTTCAGTTTTTGTTTTAGTTTGTACTGTTTTTTATTGATGTTGTCAATAAAATTTCTTTTATCAATATTATTTACAGACAATAAAATGGTGTTATTGTGAAGTAATCCTTTACAGAAGAGCCACGACTTTTAGACGAAGAAAACATACTTATCTACTGAACGATTGACTTTAACTTATATCTAACTAGTTCTCGTATCTTGATTTCTGTTTCAAAGTTAATATTTCAATCATGGTTGTTTTACCTACCGAATAATCTTAAAAAAATCAATCATGTATCTTATTGGCAATACAATATTAAATATACTTTAAATTTCTATAATTACTGCTTGTATAAGCTTTAAGCTTATCGTTTGTATGAGTTTTAAGGTTATATTTTTACTGCTTGTATAAGTTACAAGTTTCTATACTTACCGTTTGTATGAGCTTTAAGGTTCTGTACTTACCTGCTTGTGTAAGCTTTCATATTTTTTATTTACTGCCTGTGTAAGCTTTAAGTTTATACATTTGATGGTTGAATAAGCTTTAACTTTCTATGCTTGTTGCTTGTATAAGCTTTATTGGTTATTTAAACTTCAAATTTTTATACTTATTGCTTGTATAAGCTTTATTGGTTATTTAAACTTCAAATTTTTATACTTATTGCTTGTATAAGCTTTATTGGTTATTCAAGCTTCAAATTTCTCTACTTATTTGTTAGTTAAGCTTCAAATTTCTATACTTATTGGTTAATTAAGCTTCAAATTTCTATACTTATTGGTTAATTAAGCTTCAAATTTCTATACTTACTGGTTAGTTAAGCT